TCACTGCAACCTCCACCTCCTAGGTTCAAGAGATTCTCCTGCCTCAGCCTCCTGAGTAGGTGGGATTACAGGAGCCCACCACCAAGCCTGACTAATTTTTGTATGTTTATTTGTAGAGACAGGGTTTCACCATTTTGGCCAGGCTTGTCTCCAACTCTTGACCTCAGGTAATCTGCCCACCTAGGCCTCCCAAAGTGCTAGGAATATAGGTGTGAGCCACTGCACCTGGTTGATTTTCTTCCCTCCTTCCCTTCCTCCTTCCTGCCCTACTTCCTCTCTCTCTTTCTCTCTTTCTTTTTATCAGAGTCTCACTCTGTCACCCAGGCTGTAGTGCAGTAGCATGGTCTCCACACACTGCAACCTCCACCTCCCAGGTTCTAGCAATTCTCCTGCCTCGACCTCCCAAAGTGCTGGGAGTACAGGTGTGAGACACCGTGCCTGTTGATTTCTTTCTCTTTCTTTCTTGCAGAGTCTCACTCTGTCACTGAGGCTGGAGTCCAGCGGCATGATCTGCACACACTGCAACCTCCACCTCCCGGGTTCAAGTGATTCTTCTGCCTCAGCCTCCCAGGTAGCTGGGATTATAGGCATGTGCCATCACACCCAGCTAATTTTTGTATTTTTAGTAGAGAAGTTTCACCATGTTGGCCAGGCTGGTCTCCAATTTCTAACCTCAAGTGATCTGCCTGCCTCAGCCTCCCAGTGTTGGGATTACCGGCATGATCCATCTCACCTGGCTGATTTATTTCTATTATAGGTTGACTCACATACATTTCTGATGTTGGGCATCTCATAACACCTAAAAAAAAAAAAAAAAAAAGGCCACTTCCTATGTATCAGCTGAACACATTGCCTAGGACCTCCAGTGCCATGTTCAGTAGAGACAGTAATAGAAGCTACCCTTGTCTACGTCCTAGCTTCGATGAAAATTCCTTCTAAAATTTTACCATTAAATGTGATAATTGCTATATACTAAGGATAATAGGGCCAGGTGTGGTGGCGCACACTTGTAATCCCAGCACTTTGGAAGGCTTGTGGGGAGGATTGCTTCAGCCAGAAAGGGGGAAGTTGCAAGTGAGCTAAAATCTTGACATTGCACTCCAGCCTGTGTGACAGAGAGAACTTGTCTCAGAAAAAAAAACAAAAAACCAAAACCAAAACAAAACAAAAAAAGGATGCTAGCTTGCTAATAGTGCATTATGTGTTGACTCTGTCCTTGCATTATTGAAATAAAACCTAATTCTCCGTGATGCATTATGTGTGTGTGTACATTACTGTATTCGACTTGGTATTATTTTATATAAAATTTGGAATTCATGTTCATAAAAGTTAACAATAGCTAATTTCTATTTGGTTTTCTATGTTTCGGATATTGCTAAGTTACTTTCCTTGAATTTTTTCATTTCAGCCTAGACAGCTTATTGTAAAGGTTATTTCCCCTTTATACATGAGGAAGTTAAGGCACAGCGAAGGCAAGTCATTATCCCTAAGGTCACAGGGAAGGTAAGTAGTGGCAGCAGAAATACAAATCTGGATTGCCTAGCTCCAGAGGCCATGCACTAAGCACTGCCCTGCCCCCTCTCCCTGTGACAAAGACCCATCATTCAGACTGTTCTATTGTGAACTTTTCTTGTACATCCTTGTTCCAGTTTTGCACCAAGATTATATTATTCTCAATAGATAATTAGATAGGTCTTCTTTTTCTATTATACAAATACTCATCAAACTTTTATAAAAACCTATTCCATCCTATCACCTTTGCTAGCCTGACTTCTACAGTTTCGCAGTGGCCTCCAGGTTTTATGGCATTTGGGAGCTCCTGTCCCGGGGGGTATACACCCCATAAAGCCAGGGATACAGACACAGATCAGCAGCAGACTCCCCCACCCTCCAGCATCCTTTTTTTTTTTTGAGATGCAGTTTCACTTTTGTCGCCCAGGCTGGAGTGCAGTGACATGATCTCAGCTCACTGCAACCTCCGCTTCCTGGGTTCAAGTGATTATCCTGCCTCAGCCTCCCGAGTAGCTGGGATTACAGGCACCTGCCACCACACCTGGCTAACTTTTTTTGTATTTTTATTAGAGACAGGGTTTTACCTGTCCTCATCAGAATCACTGGATCATGACTGACCCCTAGAGGCGGCTTCTCTGCTTAACTGTCAGCGCATGGGCTGGAATGTGACCCCCAAAGCTGCCGTAGAAGCTTCCACCCATCCTGGACAATGCTTGACATCTGTGGGGAAAAGTCCTGTCCTTTGTCTTGTTAGCCCAGCCAGCCTCACAGACATTCAGCAGATTGGAAAGCCTAAGCGTGTGCTGTGCTGGGCAGGGCTCTCCTGTGCCTTTTTTTGGGGTTGAGCGGGAGTGCATTCCAGCCCCTAGCATGCTGCTGTTTATTCCCACCCCTCATCCCCGCCCCCCTACACACTCACAAGTACAAACACAGGCACAGTCATGGGCACACACTGCCCTGGGCAGCACCATTTCCAGCCTCTGAAGGGTGGTCTCCTTATGGGGAAGTTAATGAGACAATAAAGAAGGCTCAGGGGTCAGGGAGGACCTATGTCATAAAGACGCTCCTAGACCCGGCTCTGCCTCTGACTTGCTGGGGGTCCATGAGAAAGTTGCTTTCCCTCTTTGGTCCCAGCTGAGAAACGGGGGGTTGAGCCAAATGGCCTAAGGTTCTGGGTACTGCTAAG